AGTTTGACTGTTCTATTTTGCCTAGCATTGAGTGATAAAAAAAAAAACAAATAAAAGATAATGGTAGTAAACTACGATCCTTCCCAAGATTTGAGGTTAGTTTGCCTAATGCCCAACGTCAGACATATTCTAACCACTGGGTCTCCTTTTAAACAATTTGATTTGATATGGTAGAAAAATGGGAGGAACACGCAGCGTTACTCTCTGCCGTCTCTAAAGACTAGGCAAGCAAAAACAGGGCAGAGCCGGAGAAATAGATACAATGACAAATGTTATCTTTTACCCACAGAGATGATGTAGGTGGTGATGGAAAGGAAAATGGGAGAGATTAACTTCAGAAATATTAAGGTAAATATATTTGTAGTTACATGCTTAAACGATGTGTCACGAGTCACTTTGCAACCAACTGCTATGGTAAAGTGACAATAGCTGAATGAAGGTTCCAAAGTTTGGGATAAGTGACAAGTACATCATATTCTTTTTCCGCCTATCAAATAAAAATTCACGAAAACAAGCAAATCGCTCATCACCAGCGAAGTGAAAACGATGACATATGTCTGAAACCTCTTCCTTGAAAGAACTTAACTCAACACTATTTGCGTTGCTTTCGTTGTTCATGGAATACACTACGTTGAAATAATGTTCGCATTTACCTTACTCTATCTTCAGATGTCAGACGTCGAACAATGGCTACAAAATCATGTGTCAGAAGGAAGCGAAGAAGACGCCATTGTTAGTAAGGAGGAGATGTGGAAAAGTTTCTGTTGTAAATCAGACATAAAGGTGGGAAGAGAATTATTTTTTTTAATTACCTTGGGTTGGCGCTATCTCGTTTGGAATACAAGAATGTGGTTCCGATTATCAAAAAGTGCCGGCGAGTGGGATACAAGGGGCTAATTTTGTTGAGTGCTCCTGTGAGCGATAAAAAGGCGCAATCATGCGATAAAAAAATGCGTCGGTATCAGTTACACCTCTTGAAGTCAAAGCGCCTGAGAGTTTGAATGAAGAGGTCACCACGGTGTGGCAATCTAACCAGTTAGCCCCTCAAACAAGCATTCAGCGCAAAGCTGTGCAAGAGTGGATGTCTAAATACTACCGCGAAGGAGGAGAGAACGACATCACTACGAAGCAAAACCTGTGGATTCATTACAAAGAAAGCAATGAATTAGATGAGGATCCAAAAAGATCATTTTTTTCGCACCTAGGTAACGTAATAAGGCACCCCCCTTTTGCAAAAGTACGCCAAATTAAGAGGAAAAAGCTTGGTGCTTTCCAGTTCCTAAAGCGGACATTGCCTAGCGATGTTAAGGCACGTACTTGTGAGAAACAGCCATCGTCGACCAGATCAGCTGCATTAGCAGAAGCTGCTAGTGATTTAACCAGCGTCCCTGCTAAAAGAAATTCATTTCAAGTAAAAGAAACAAGCCCTGATCGTTCCAAATCGCATTTCGGTGGTCAGAGGAGTGTGCCTCGTAGTCCCTGTACGATTTTAACCGATTTGGAAAGTGTCCTGCAGAGAAATCCTGATGAAACTTATGTGATTTCTTCTGATATTCCTCTTACAAGTGGTGACAGCGAAATTTTTGAGATTGAAGGAGATTTCAGCTACGACAAAAATGAATTTTCAGGAGGTGAGACAGACATATTCCCTATCGATTCACCAGAGGATATTGCTAGGTGCCCCGACCATTCAGAGGATGGAGATGGCGAAAACGTCAGTCAACCAAGTGAACATGGTGATGCGAGTAGTGAAAGTGATGTAACTGAAATGTCAAGCGGTGCAGAAGAAATCATACCCGTCAACAAGACAGAGGCGTCATCAGACATATTTCATAGGTTCCATAAGAAACTGTCCACTTTGCTTCCTTCGCATCTTCCTGGCAAACCTGCTTCATTTCAGGATTACCTGACAAGCGTCGTTAAAGATCCCGGCAACATAAATGAGGAACGTACAGCCCTTTATTTAGCTTCAGGCTGTGCAAAGACGTACAAGAACTGCATAGTCAGGGCCTTTGTCGCAGCTTCGTTCCCCCCTCTAAAGGTTGGCAGTTTTGCAGCTGAGCAAGTTAAATATACCTTTGAAGGAGACGTCTTCCCACAATTCACTCATATCGAAAAAAGTAACTTCAGCTGCGCCATTTGCATACCTTACCTCAGATGGGCTATAATTAATAGCATACCTCACTCCAAATGTCGAGCCCAATCGGCAAAACCGGATGCAATATTGTCGGGTACTGCGACGTTATGTTTCTCCGGCATGGTCCAGCTCAAAGAACATAGCAGTTCTAGATTGCATTTGGAGGCCGTGGCCTTTTTTCAAAGAGCCCAAGAGGAAGAGCTCCGCTGCGGTAGAAAGAAGGAAGCCAGATTAGCGGGGAAAGAACAAAAGCGTATTTCTGAATATTTTCAAAAACCTTCAGTGAATTTAAACTAGGAAGGACCTCCGAGTTCCAACACCAAGCACACACCAGAAATAAAGTCAAGTGCTGTCATTTATGGGATTCGGAGGTCGTTAAAAATTTTGGAAGTGATTCACAGATTAGAAGAACAACTGCTGAAGGCCTCTTCAAAAAAAAAGACGCAACAATGGCGGTTTGAAGTGTCATCCACATGAACCAGGTCATGAAAATGCTCCTCTTACAACGTTTGGAAGGAAATGCACAAAGTAGAGGCTGATGTCCTTAAGGATGAAGCAAATTCAAGCTACAAGTCAGTGTTTATTCCTGTTTTTAAACAGGTGATCATAAATGGAAAACCAGTCCAAATCAATGGAGCAATTAAAAGCCTCGACCCACCCTGTAAAGGGGAGGCGTCATCTCATGGTGAACATCCATACACGTGCACTAATTGTTTCCGTCAACTGAGAGACCTGAAAAACACTTTGCAGCATCGGAGGTCTGGCAGTTTAGATGACAAAGCCAACAGACTGGGATTGAAAGGTTTCAACAAAAGGTACGCAAGGGAGGAGAGATGATGAATACTCTTGAGAAAGAAACTCAACGAAGGAAATTGGCAGAGACAGAAGTTAAGGAGCTGGTAAGGAAAACACTAAGCCCTAGAGACTGGGAAGAATGTCTACATCAAGCATGCCTTAATAGGGAAGACCAAATGCTGGTAATTAATCTGGTTCGTTTGATGAAGAGTGGAATCTCTGCAAAAAAAAATCCTATGCAGATTCTCATTTTAAAGAATTTAGTGTCAAAGCTTCAAAAAGGAAACAATCATCGTTATGTTGACCTCGTGAAAGACGTAAGCGGGCTATTTAAAAATGAGCTTGGTCCGACTAATTATGCCCTTTTAGCAGATATCGTTGGATTGGCTAAAGAAACGACAGCGTCAAAGCACTCTTCGTCTCAATTGAGGTTGGAGCCTGGCTTAAACATGGATGCAATAGATCTGGCTGCAAACAAATTCAAAGGTTTACCCGTGAACGAAGCAAGCGATGGTGCCCGTTGTCTGAGGTACCTTCACCCACGAAAAGATAAAAACGGCAACGTTGTTTTAATTGGGTCGACCTGGAGTCCTTCTGTGGACAGCTGGAAAGAGGAAGAAATCGTTATACCAAGAAAGGATGCCACTAAGGGCGACTTAGACGACGTTGGAGCGTTGAAAAGGTTAGTAGATGGTCTCATTAAAGGAAATCGGCTAGCCAAGACTGTATCCATTCACAATTTGACGTGTTTGGCAGCACTCGACAAACCTACAGTTATTAATTGCATGTGGCCAATTCAAGACAAAGGTTACAAGGCAGTCCATCTCTTAAAGTACTGGGAAGCAATGAGGAAAGCTTGTTACTTCGACGAATTTGGAGATGTTAGAAAGAGTCCTTTAAATTTGGTTGGTTATTCAACCGACTCAGCCGGGTTTTCATTGTCAGCTGCAATCCATCTGATGAGTCCTTCACACGAGGAAATAAATGAAGGAGTTACTTACCTTGGTCTAGGGCTTGACGACGAGTGCTATTTGGCCCCTTATTACTGGTATCTTCCATCAATTGCCTACCTAGACTATGATCACGAGCAGAGACTATTTCTGAAGAATTTGAAATACCAAACTCGAGATTTGACTTTCTGGGATGACAATGGAAACACAACAAAGCCTGCAACTATCGAACACCTTAAAAATCTAAAGCACCGTTGCCAAGAGTTGGGGCTAGATTGCGGATTCAGTAGTGCGGATTTGCTCCTCATTTATTTTTGTGACCAAAACTCAGATGCATGTGAAAGACTATTTACTCCACGGATTGCAGATCTTCTGGAAAAATACGTTCCTGGATCACAAGGTACCGTTTTGTACATAAGGGCGGTGTACTCTCTTTTACAGCCATTCCGAGTTCCAGACTTTGGCTCACCAGAGGACGTTCAAGAATCAATTTCGTGTGGCATCTACATTTTCCGCTTGTGGAGGAGGGCGTTGGAACTCAAGAAACTGCGTCTTCATTCTCAGCCGGGGGCAAAAAATGATCCCTCAAAGCGTGGCCACTTTATTACATATGGTTGCTATGCTACAGCAGAAGTTATCTTTTCAGCAGGTACCATCCATCAATTGGCCATGTTTTTACATTTTAAAGGCCTAGGTCCACGCTGGGCATGTCCATACAACTCCGGTACCAAAAGCACAGAACGAATTATCGCAGAATTGCAAGGCAAGACAAATGAATTACAATCCCTGGACTCTCAACCAACATTTGGGGACATGCTCGATAGAAGCACGAAAGTACAGTTCAATATCAATGCGAAACACCGCCTCTCCACAGCTGGTGCAAAGGTATCCTCTTCCCACAAACGAAAACGGCTTGCGTTCGCCTTCAGATCCAGCAAAGGACAAAGAGAGCTACGAATACCCTGAAAGGTATTCGGAATTCAAACAGCGCAAATCCAAGCTCACAGAAGAGGAGTCAACAAAGCGTGGGCTCTCTTTTCGAAGTACATGCCACAGCAATGCATTGGTCTTTTGAAAGAGAATGACTGCTGGGAGAAACCCTATGTATATAAGAAACCAGAAGGGTGTTTGGTGGTTGACAGTCCGCCAGGAAAAGATCACAATCTCCTTCAAAAGTCGTTTGCGGTGATAAATGAAAATATTGATTCAAAATGCAACGACGACGAACGAGAAGCAGATATTAACATCCCTGAGGAAAGTCAGTACGAAGGACAGTTGCATGCCAATGAAGACATGACCATCAAGCCTGGCTCCGTGACACCCGAGGATCATGGGGATGATAACAGCGGTGGAAAAAGGTGGAAGGTCAGTAAGATAGTTGACGGCAAGGAAACTTACATCCACATCAAGCAGGCCTTAAAACTTCTTCTACCCCGCGAGTACGTATCTCGTTGTCGTCAGAAGAGACACTGGGCATCACAGTACCTCCCAGGAAAGGAGCCCTTGAATCCAAAACATGATATAATAAAGTACTGCAATGTTGCTTTAAAGGTCACCCTCAATGGCACACCAGTATACGACATCGGGCGAGTAGAGGTCATTGAATCGACAAAGGATGGATCGGATGTTGTAAGCTTTGAAAAGAAAGGGAAGCAGTCGGTGCGAGTACGTTGCTCCTTATACACGGAGGACGAAAATGATGTTTATTTCTTTTCTAATGATGTGATTCTTACAAAATGGAAACCACCTTCGGCTATCATTGGGGCAGTAGATTTGCAGCCTGTCACAGATAGTCCCGGAAAGTACAGGCTTCAGTCGGAGTGTAAAGCTCATTTAAAAGAACTAGGATTCTCGCCAAGGAATGCCAAACGTGACAACGACACCAAATCATCTTCAAATCAAACTGAAGATAATGAAGGGGCCACGGAGAAAGACGACTACTACGAAGTAGACGAAATCGTAAGTCGGCGTCTCTCCAAGGACACCCTCGCATATGAGTACAAAGTAAGGTTCAAGGGCTATGGGGAAGAAGACGACATGTGGTTGCCATCATCTTTTTTTTTAACCGACCGATAACCTTCCAGTCAACATCCAAGTTTGGTAGGAAGAGGAAACATAAGCTAGATCCCGATATGGACCAAGAAACACACAATAAAAAGAAAGAAACGTCAAAGCTCTTCTTTCGAAAAGGCCACTGCAAAACCCTCTAGAATGTCCAAGAAAATTACTAAGAACAGCAAAGACAAAGGAAAATCCTTTCGTTCAAGCTTGAAAACCCTTACAGCCGAAGAACAAAGCAACAATGAGAAAGCAAACGACGGTAACACACAATCAAGTGGGCGAAATCAAATCCCTAGATCGAATGTTCGAAGTTCTAATGAGGTTGCAACAGGGAACGAAACAAGACGCAATGTCATCAAGGAGGAGGGTTCCTTCACGCATGGGATAGAATCCTCAAATGTGTCATATGATACCACAAGTGCGGTGAAATCCCGTACCGCAAAGCTTTGTGAGATTGTTCACGTCGACCAGCTTTCCTCAGATGAAGAGTCAGGAACCGTGATGGGCATACTGAGAGACGTTGCTCGGCGTGATGACAACTTTTGCAATTCAAGGAGGACCCTTGGCTATGCAACCTTTCCCGATGTAGATGCAACGTTGCAGAGTTATCTGTGCTCCTCTGGTGAGCATGCCCGTGGAGTTAGCATAACAGATGCCCTGAGAGTAACAAGACTACCGCCATATTCTTTAATCGAAGACGCAGAGAAGGATATTAAGGAAGAAGCAAGTTCCCAGATTCTTGTTCAATTTCCTTCCTACGGAACCTTCAACAAAAGGGGCATCAATATCTTGAAGAGATTTCATCGACTGCGACAACTTCGTGGCGAAGTCCAATTTGAAGAGAAATGGCTGAAAAATGTTTTTTCAAATATGAAAAACTGTATGAGAGATGATGTGACTCACGCCCTTCTAGACAGAGTGAACGAAGAGGAAAAATACCTGGTGTCCTATAAAAACTATAGGATAACGTCTCAGGAACTTTCAGTCATGTGTGGGGAGAGGTATCTTTCTGACGAAATCATCAATCTACTGATTCAAAGATACTGTGACTTAGCAAACGAGAAGAATCAGTCTTGTACTTTCATCCTTTTGCCATCCTTCCTTTCCGTTGGAGAAGTGTCAGGAAATTTGATTAGGAACATTTGTACCGTTGAAGACATGAATGAAGTAGAGGTAATGTTCCTTCCTGTCCACATGGCTGAATTGTGTCACTGGGGACTTGTCATATTTTCAGTGGGTGAGCAATCAGTGTTCTTCGACGACGGATATCATTGTCAAATATCACGAGATCTTCGATACAGAACAAACATTATTCTCTCTACGATTCACGAAAACACCGAGTTAGTTAAATTTAAACAGTGCGATTGGAAAGAAATTCAGCGATTCAAGGTCCCAATGCCAGACCAACCTAAAGCTGGCTCCGGCAGTTGTGGTGTGGCCGTTATATGTGCCGTACGTGACATTTGCTCTGGAAATGACGACCACTTCACTTGGACATATCAAGATACATCATACCTGCGCGCCCAGTTAATGGTTGAGCTCGTTAATCTCGCATAAGCTGCCGCAAGTAGTACTTCGTTCCTGCTTCATATCAAAATAAGGGAAATCGCTTCACATGAATTCGAGCAAGAAACTTCTTCCGTGCTGGCACATATCTAGATATTACAATATGCACTTACTAGTCTATATACATTCGTCGCTTACCATAGAATGTGCTTTGCTAGCCACTGGTAATTGATTCTTATGTTCCGCATATTCATTATCAAGGATAGATCGTGCCTCGCGGGTAATTATCTTTGGGAACGCATTTATTTATTATTCTTTATCATCCTAGAATAGACTGTGCTTTCCTGGCATTTCATTTCGTCACTACTGCATAACTGTTCTTCATTACCAAGGATAGACTGCTCCTTCCTGGCAATTGTTATCATCTGGAATTTATAATTGGTCATTATAAGAAAGAATGGATTGTAGACTCCTGGCATTCCATATCTTCTGCACCGCATAATTGTTCTTCATCATCTAAGAATAGACTGTGCCCTTCTGGAATCTCATATTTTTTGAACTGCATAATTATTTTTAATCTTCTACGTGGAATAGACTCTGCTCTTCTGATATTTGACATCTTCAACAGCCCATATGATTTTAATCGTTTCGAATAGACCCTGGCCAGTCCTCGGATTTGGTGTCGTTAAGAATAGACTGTACCTTTCTGGCATTTGATTTCTTCTGCACGGGATAATTGCTCTAAATCATCAAGTAAAGACTGTCTCTTCCCGGCATATGATATCTTCTGCACTGCATAATCATTCTTCATCGCAAGGGAAGACTGCACCTTCTCACCATTCTATTCCGTCAGCACCGCAGAATTGTTCTTTATCGTAAAGGATGGACAGTTTCTTCCTGGCATTTGATTCCGTCTACAAGCCATAATTATTCTTCATCACCTGAAAGTAGCACCAGAAATGTCATATCTTCTGAATTGCATAGTTGTTCATTACCATCAAGATTATACTAGGCTCTCCTGGCATTTCATATCTTCCGGATCGACCGCAACATTGTTCTTCATTGTCAGAGATAGTCTGTGGTTTCCTGGCGTTTCATTCCGTCTCTAATGCATAATTGGTCTTCATCATTTAAGAATAGACTGCCCTCTTACCATTTGATATCTTCTCGACGGCATATTTGTTCTTCAACGTCAAGGATAGACCGTTTCTATTATAATCGTCAAAAATGGACTGTGCCCTACTAGGATTTGGTATATTCTACACCGCATAATCATTTCAATCATGAATCCTTCCTGGCAATTGTTATCATCTGGAACTTTTAATTGTTCATCATTATCAAGAATAGACGATGCTCTATGCTCTCCTTGCATTTCATATCTTCCGCACCTCAAAACTGTTCTTCATTATCAAAGTTAGCTTCCTGGTATTTTATTCCGTCTGCGCCGCATAGTTATTGTTCATCATCTAAGAATAGACTGTACTTTTCTGGCATTTGTTATCTTCCGGACCGCAACATTGTTCTTCATTATCAAAGGTAGACTTTGCCTTTTGGCATTCGGTTTCGTCACCAGTGCATAATTGTTCTTCATCATCAAGAATAGACTGTTCCTTCCTGGCAATTTTTATCTTCTGGAACTTATAGTTTGTTCGTCATTATCAAGAATTGTCTACGCTCTCCAGGCATTTCATATCCCCCGGACCGCATATTTGTTCTTCACCATCAAGGATAGACTGTGCCTTCCTGGCATTTGATTCCATCTACAACGCATAATTATCCTCAACCATCTCAAAATGACATGTGCTCTCCTGAAATTTTATATCTTCTGAACCGCATATCTTCTTCACCATGAAGGATAGAAGGCGCCTTCCTGGCATTTCATTCCGTCAGAACCGCATAATTGTTCTTTATTATCAAGGATAGACTGTGCCTTCATGGCGGTTGTTATCATCTGAAACTTATAATTGTTCCTCATTACCAAGAATAGTCTATGCTCTTCTCGCATTTCATATCTTCGGGATCGACCGCACAATTGTTCTTCATTATCAAAGGTAGACTTTGCCTTCTTGGCATTTGATTCCCTCGGCACCGCATAATTGTTCTTCATCATCAAGGAGACAGTGCCTTCCTGGCAGTTGTTATCATCTGGAACTTATAATTGTTAGTCATTATCAAGAATAGACTATGCTTTGCTGGAATTTCATATCTTCCGGATCGACTGCAACATTGTTCATCATTATCAGAGGTAAACTGTGGTTTCCTGGCATTTCATTCTGTCTTCTCAACGGCATACTTGTTTTTTAAAGTCAAGGATAGACCGTTTCTTCCTGGCATTTCATCTCTTGGAACGGATAACTATTATAATAGTCAAGAATGGACTGTGCCCTACTAGGATTTGGTATTTTTCACACCGCATAATCATTTCATGTATGAAGACTTGATTGTGCCTTCCATTTGGTATCATCTGAACCACAAAATTTCTTCTAAGTAATCGTCAAGGGTAGACTTTGCCTGCCCGGCATTCGCGACTTCTTCGGCACGGCAGAATTGGTCCTCACCGTCAAGGATAGACTGTGCCTTTCTGGCATTTGATTTGGTCAGCAATGCGAAATTGATCATTATGGTCATTGATAGACTTTTGCCTGCCCGGCAATTGATTTCTTCAACACCGCATAATTGTTCTTCATCAACGGGTTTACCACCCTTGATTTTTTTGTGCACAACGCAATTGCTCTTCATCGTCAACTAAAGACTTGCCCCCTCGTCATTTGATTCTGTCAGCAGCGCATAAAGAAATATTTTTCGTCGTCAAGAATAGACTGTGTTTTCTGGGTATTGGATTTCTTCTGCACCGCATAACCGTTCTTCATCATTTTTATGGACTGTGCTTCCCAACATATGATATCTTCAGCACCGCATAATTGTTCTTCGTCGCAAGGAAAGACAGTGCCTTCTCGCCAAAAAATAGTTCTGCATCGCAGAACTGTTATTCATCGTCAAGGATAAACTGCTCATTTGGTCAGCACTGCAAAATTGTTCATTATTGTCAATGATAGACTTTGCCTTCTCGGCATTTGATATCTTCTGTACCGCGTAACTGGTTTTCATCATCAAGTAAAGACTGTGCCTTCCCCTATTTGATTTCTGATAGACTGCTCATTTGGTCAGCACTGCAAAATTGTTCATTATCGTCAATGATAGACTTTGCCTTCCCGGCATTTAATATCTTCTGTACCGCGTAACTGGCTTTCATCATCAACTAAAGACTGTGCCTTTCCCCTATTTGATTTCTTCTGCGTCGCATGTTGGTTCTTCATCTTCAAGGAAAGACTGTGACTTCCTGACATTTGATTCCGTAAGCACCGCATAGTTGCTGTCTTTCTGGCATTTGTTTCCGTCTTCACCGCTTATTTTTTTTCTTCATCATGAAGGATAGACGTTCCGTGCTTTTTTTGCTATATGATTTCTTATTCACCAAATATTATTTATATATTATAAGTAATTATAGACTTTGCATTCCTGGCATGGAGTTTCTACTGTTACTGAGAGGGTGTGTTCGAGACATCTGATTGGCGCTGGAAAGACAATGCCTTTGTTCTATCCCTTTCTGTATCGGCTGAAATAATGAAACTGTTTTGGATACTGGAATGCGCGATGCGGTCATTTGATTTTGTCTGAAATGGATAGTGAGTTGTGCAAAATGTTAATCGAAATTTTCATTACTTTCTTGGTGACAGCGGAACGCGTAATTTTCGATAAAGTTTAGACCAATGAGCTGTTGGAAGTAGGGGGGACAAAAGAAGAGTAAGTACGCGTTATACGTTTGGCGAATGTGCTCTCTAGACATTCTCTTAATGAATCCAGTCTCGTTACCAGTATTTGGAACCCTGGAAACGTGGTTGTTAGTGAGTCCTGGTGTTAGTCATTAGTTGGCGTTCAAATCAGGTGAACCAACTCTTAATTTATTCTTTACGGTCTCGCAATTTTGCTCTCATTTGGAGTGAAGTGAAGACGACTTGTATTCTCCTCAGACCAGTGTGAGCGTAGAAATGACATTTTTATCCCGCGTTAATGTGCACCGAAATCATAACGAGCGAGGAAAATGTCTTAAACACCACTAAGTTTTCCTTGAGATAGATTTTTCGTATCACCTGCATAAAATGGCTCAATTTATCTTCCTGGCTGGCTAAATGTCGGAATATTTTTTGCTGGCAAAAAAGAGAAGAAAGAGACATTCCTGGCTAGGAACATGCCTTTTTGGTAATAATCCTGGCTGGGAAAAGCCCTTAAGGTAAAGATCCTGGCTGGATATTGTACTTTAAAATCTAGCTCTAGCTGGCTTTGGGGAGCGGATATAATTTTGCCAGAGAAGTTAATAATCAACCAAAAAACAATTTGTGACTGTTAAAATATTACTGGGAGCGATATCCAATCACTTTTGAAATTTTTCTCGTTGGGTACTCCTGAGGTTTGAGTGGATTGTAACCAAATTCCGTTTGTATGTCAAACCAGAATGTTCAATTAGGTTGTATTCCAATGAGAACAATTTTACCTACACTAGCTACTAAGGTACAAAAAAACTAAAGAAATAACGGAGAAATAAGAGAGAAATTACGTAATTTAGTCTTCAATGGAAGGATTTGTGTGTTTGTGCACGTCTGTCAAAACGTCCGAGGCCTACCCCGTGAGGCAAGTGCGTCATCTAAAGGTTTTTTCCTTCATGAGCGCGTCACAATTGTAAAACATGTGTATGCATCGATCATGTGGTGAGACATGTACCTCAATAAACTAATTTCGATCATACGTACAGTGACTACAAGATTTTGTTTGTAAAATGCTGAAGGACGCTAGAATTAAGTGAAATATAGTAATCATTGTTCAAAAGTTGTTTTCGATATTTGAATATAATGTTATTTCCCTTAACCACAACAACCGCAGACCCCGCAGTCCGCAGACCGCAGACTTGACCGAAAAATAGGCACGTATAGAGTGCTAGTTTGAAAATTGGTTGAGAGCTAAAAAAATTAACGAAACGCTCATTGAAACAGTGG